TTCCTCACCAAGTCTGCTCATTGAGCACATGGACTCAAACCAGTTTTCTCAGGGTCAGGGCTCCAATGTCTTAGCTGACCTGAGGGAAAATAGGAGGGAGGGTCTGGAGTTCAGATTTTTTAAAGCTATAACAATATATTCTCATTTATTCAGGGTCTGATCAATCTTCCAATTACCCTCCTCCTCCTTCCTTTTAACCATTTTACTTATCATTAGTATCTCTATCATAAGATAGAGATGGGGGGTTAGGGGAGGGGTGGGGAAAAGCATGGGCCCAGAACATAAAGGAGCTGAAATTCCAACCAATCGGTTTGACTCTAGTTAAAAGGAAGGAAGGAATTCGATTACCTGGGACCTCCCTCTCCCCCAGGGAATGGGCATCAGCTTTAGTGGTCTATAGCTGGAGACTACCAGAAACCCAGTCATGACAGGCTGGATTTCACCTCTCTCCTCCAACTTAAACAGGCACCACATCCTAGCTATAAACTGGTGTATTCTCAGCCAGGGTTCCAATCTCTTTCCTGTGCAAGACCCCAAGCCTGGTCCTTTTTGGAGGAGAAGCAGCCACCAACGTTCTTCACCCCAGCTTTTGCCCTCACCCCACTGAAGGCCTCGCGTCCCCAGCACAATGGCAAGTTCACAAAGGAAGTGAGCCTCGCCAGACTGTGCTAGCAAATTCCCATAAATACTTGGGCCTGGGGTAGCGCTGCTTATGTAAAATGCTTCCCCATTGAGAGATGCTGCTTTATTTACATTCCTCACTACCCATTCATAAAAAGGAGGCCTTTTAAAGTCGGAGCTGTTCGTATAACGCTCCATAAACCCAGCAGCTTCAGCTGGCAGTCTTAGACCCAGCCTGCTTCTCAACGCCAGAGATTTTTTTTTGTAAGATTTTTTTTTTCCCCTTAATGGCTCACCTTGCGAGGAGGCATTGAGGCCAGATGCTGCCAGAGCAAGGCCAAACAGAATAAGAACAAGATAAAATGAAAGAAAAAAAATCCACACAAAAATCCTCAAAAGCCCTGAGAGAGCAATACTGAAAGGAATGAAAATAAATTGAAGATTCCTACAGAAGTCCAACTTGGGGGGCGGGGGAAATTGGGGGGGGCAGGGGAGAGAACAGGGAGGTAAATAGGGAAGAAGGGCAGAAAGGATAATGTGGAGGAAAGGGAGATTCCTTACAGATTTTCTCAAACTTCCTTTACAGAAGACAACACTCCCCAGTTTCCCATTCATCCTTCCAGGTGCCAGAGGGTGTGGAGGGGATTTTTTTAAGCTGAAGGTGGAGACACTAATGGGGATTTTAAAATTTCAGATAAGGGTAAGGAGAAGAAGAAAAAAAAAAGGATTATCTATGCCCCATGAGGAAGCACCTTAGGGCTTCTAGGTCCATGTGGGGAAAATAAGAATAAGTAATCCAGATACTGCTTTGGATGAATAAAAATCATGCTGATGCCCAGTAACCGGAAGAATTGTGTCCAAGGGCCACAGAGCAAAGCAGCCTGGAGCTAGGAATGAACCCCAGTTCTAAGCTGTAGTACCTCTTCTGAGCTACAAAACAGGAGGAGGAAAGGTGGTGGTTTCTTTGATGGGGGAGTGGGCTTTGTTGCCATGGTAACAAGAAGAGGTATCTTTCCCTTCTGGAAGAAATGCTAGTCCATTTATCATCAAACTGGGGCACAAAAGGGGAGATGGGGGGGCAGGAGAGCTGAAGAATGTATTTTTAAGTATCTAAACTCAATGCTGTCAATAGTCTTATAGCCCATTCTCTATACCAGTTAATGGTGGGCAGTAACAGAGTCCCGAATTTGATAGGATTCCTAATTACTTCTTTTCAATTAGCTTTAATTATGGATAGATCTGTTTTCAAAGGACCTCTGTCCCAGAGAAGCTGAGACACAGTGCTCTCCCTCTACACCAGACTGGAAAACAGGAATCCACAAAATCTAGGAATCTCTATTCTCCTCTCCCAAAGTATTTTTTCCTTCATTTACACCCAAGAACAAGAAGAGATAAAACACATGGATTCATTTAGCATGGACGACAAGGAAAATTGCATAACGACAGCTAAGTGTGTGGGTGGGGGGAGATGGTCTGGTAGAGTAGGAAGAAAACAGGATTACAACATTTTCAGATCCATCTCTATATGGTGTCATGAGGCCAATCTATTAGACAGAATCACCAAGAGTGCAGAAGACTAATATACAAGAGTCCACAAAATCCCAGAATGCTAAGAGTAAACTAAAATACAAAAAAAAAAAATTAGCAAAGTAAGAAAATAGCAAAACCTCATTTCCTCCCCCATCAAATGACCCAGCATGTCTACCTCCTAGGAGGAAAGGTCAGAGTCCCTTAACGGTATACAGAATACTGGGTATTTTGGGTCAAGTGCTTCTCCAGCCACAATTCCATAGCATTCTCCATTCATTGCTTCATTCATTCATTCATTCATTCATGACAAAATTTTTCACTGAATGCCTATGTGTGCTAATCGCTACAAGGTATAATATGAAAAGGGAGAGTATACAATCCCTACTCTCAAGAAGCCCAGAATCTGACTATGGAGACAAAACCAAAAAATACATGAGCCAACCAGGAAACAATATAAAACCAAGTGCTTTATTGGTGCAGGCACTTCAGTACCATGGAATTTCAAAGAAAGAGATAATTGGGAGCTAGGGATAGCCAGGGAAAGAGGGAAAACTGCAACTCATTCTTGAAAGATGGGTAGGTGGCATTTGGCGGAGGTAGGGGCAACATTCTGTCAGGGGAGAATTCTCCCCTAAAGTGCTAGAGGAAGGATTGCCCAGAGAGTATTATCTGCTTGGCTGAGTTATTATAATTATACTGATAACAGCTAACATGTTATATAGAAATTATTATGGCATTATCTCACTTGATCCTCACAATAACTCTGGGAAGGTAGATGCTATTATCATCCCCATTTTACAGATGAGGAAACTGAGGTAAAAAGAGGTTAAGTGATTTGCTTAGGATCACACCGCCAGTAGGTGTCTAAGTGAAATTTGAACTCAGATCTTCCTTATGCCAGACCCAGTATTGGGAGTACTGCGCCACCTAGCTGCCCCTAGCAGAAGGAAATAGTAAAGAGAAAAGGTTGGAAAGTCCTAGAATTTAGAACTGAAAAAGACCTCAGATGTCATGTAGTCCAACCCCTTCCTTACAGATGAAAAACTGAGGTGCAGGCAGGTTACTGATCTGATCGACTGAATGTCACATAAGAAATAAGCATCAGAATTGAGATGTGAACTCAGGACCACTGACTCTAAACCTTTACTTTCTGTCTCCAATATGGGATCGGATTGATGGGGCCTTGAATGTTAGGCTGAGGCATTGGGTTATATTCTGTAGGCAAGTGAAAGCTATTATAAGATTTTGGGGCAGGGAAATGACTGATCACGGTGATATTTTAGGACAATTCTTCTGTGTTGTGTAGGGTTCTGGGGAGCAGGCTGGAATAATGAGAGCAGAGAGAATAGTAAGACCCTATTGAAAAATCCAGCTATGAGGTGATGAGGGCCTGAACAAGACTGGCACTCCAAATGAAAAGGCAGGGACAGACTGGATACACCTTATAAAGGGAGAATCAACAGACCACACGTGGAAAACTTCACTGGTCAAACCCTCCTAGAGTTAAGCTCCTTTACAACATTTGCTGCATCTGATCTGGGTTGGTTTCCTTGAAAGACACCCTACCAGGGAAGGCACAAGGCCATCCTACAGCTCCATTCTGAATTCCAGTTATTAGAAGAGATTATCTCATACACAGCTACCAAAACAGATGAGTGCCTTGGAATCCCAACCCCTGGAGTCCCATGGGAGCATGAAGACCCAGATTCTTCCACCATGCTGGTGTGTTTACGCATTGAAACCGTCTCAGTTTAAGCTGCATTCTCCAGTCCACCAAACCTCTCTCAATTCCAGCACTCAGAACTGCTCATGTTTTGGCCCAGAGGCTCCACCCTCAAGGGGAGATGGTAGTGCAGCCCACACTGCACCACTGGGAAGACTGACAGTCTGAGAGCATCAGCAGCTTCCCATGAGCTGGGATTAGATCCAACCAACAGCTGGTAGTAGCTCTTACTCAATACTGCCTGAGGTGGGATTTGAACTCAAGTTTTCAACCCATACCCTATACAACCCCTAAGCCTCTCATTCTCAATGTTTCCATCTCTTCTATTAAGAGAAATGGCAACTGAAGGGGAAAAAGGATTTCTGGGAGTGTTTACATGACCAGGAAGATAGCTACCGGATTAAAGCCCAACACTGATGTTGGAGGAGGTGTCTACAATTTAAAAGAACACAGGGCAATGGCTCCCACCCCACCCCCACTGTCCACAGAGTCCTCTTGTGGTAGTGATGCACTCTTCCCTGCAGGACACTATGTCCCTCTAGGGCAAGGTTTAGTCTGATAGGGACCCCTTCTTCCCTTTTTATGTTAGTTTTATGATGGGAGCAGGAAAAGTCTCCCAAGGGGGCATCTCGAGGTAACGACGTGTTTTTTTTTCTTTCTTTTATCATCAAAATCTGGCCCTGGGATTTACTAATAACCTCTTAAGTCAAAATGAGAGCATTTTTTCACTAACTAGAAAAGCATTTTTCATTAAAGTAAGACACTGATGTGGGGCGCTGGAGCTCATTTTGTGAACCCTAACAGAGACTGGGGTTGTGGAAGAGAGGGTATCAGAAATCTGCCCCGAATCCAATTTCTTCCCCTCATATTTACGGCCCTAACGAGAGGAAATAAATTAGGAGGCTAGTGCTGATTTGCAAGTATTTTACCTGAACCTGAGGTCCTGTTTCCCGATCACCCCACCATACATATGTCATTCTCTCCCAGTACCCTTTTTCTGAAGCTGCTCCCCATAGGGCCATATCCCTCTGCTACTGAAAGGCGACCTTCCTCGCTGGGGCTCATGCTCACTGCCACCCCCGGGAAAAAAAGGACCTTCAAAAAATGGGGCAGGGCCCCCTCCCCGATGCCTTCCCCCCTCCCTCCCGCCCCCCTCCGGGGCTCCGGGATCGCCTCCCTCGCCAATCGGGCCGAGGGGCCTGCCTGCCTGGAGAAGCGCAGACGTCCTGCTGCTACCCCGCCCCCGCTCCCCTCGGCCCCCGCCGGGCCTGACCCCAGCCGCCAGAGCCCTTCACGGGAAAGAGCCCGACAATCCAGGGAGCCGTGGCAACAGTACCGCGGCTCCTCCTGCAGCCGGATCCCTGGAGCCCGGGGCCCGCTTCTCCGGCCCCGCAGTCCCCAGGGTCGGTCGAGCTGTCGGGACATCCGGAGGGTGGGGGTGGGTGCCTCGGACCCTTGCGCCCCTACCCGACGCCACCACCTGCGCCCCGCTCCCTCGCGGGCGCCGCCTTTGTCCAGCGCTTCTCGGCCGCGCTGGCCCCTCCAACCGAGCTGACCCAGCCCCCCAGGCCGCAGCCGAGAAAAAGCGGCGGGGCGGAAAGGGCAGGGCCGGGCCGGGCTCTGAAGCCCTGGCCCGCTGTCACTTCGACGCGGCTCTCACAACTTCAATTCCATCCACCTTCCCCCAAGCATCAAGGCGCCTCGGACCCGGGACCGAAGCCCCGCTCGCCCTCCCCTTTCGCCCCGCTCGGCTCTCCTCGAACCTGGTCCCGTTGCGTGCCCAGCCCCGAGCGTCCCTGGCTGCCCACCGCGGTCCCCGCCCCCCCCCGGCCCGGCCCGGGCCCCGGGCCCCCCCCCCCCCCCCAGCCTGACTCTAGAACCGGCTCCGCTCCCCATCGCGGGCCCTCCGGGGGCAGGCGCTTCCCGCAGCGGCCGGGCCGCCCCGGGCCTCGGCCACCCGCTCGGGGGGCTGAGGAGGGGGTCGCGGCGGCCCTGGGAGGGGAGCGGGGACACTCGCCCGCGCCCGAGGAGCCAGCCCTGGGCTCCCGAGGCGCAGTGGCCAATGCCCCTACCTTGGCCGCGGCCCCAGGACGCCCGCCCGCGGTCGGGATGCACTCCGCCGGCCCCTCGCCCCACCCCCCCAACCCCCGCCTCCCGACGCGGGCAGCGGCGGCGGCCCCCGGGGGCTGTCACCTCGAGGCGCGTTGCGCTCCCGATGGCGGGGACCCACCCGGGCGCCAGGACTCCCGGGAGACAGACAGCCCGTGCGGGCGGTCAGCACCTGCTCTGCGTCTGTCCGTCTGTCCTCATCCCCGAGTGGGGGCGGCGGCGCGTTCGGCGGGGCGAGCGAGCGATCGAGAGAGAGCGAGCAGGCGGACGGTCCCTCTCTTTCGCCTCCCTCTCTCCCTCCCTCTTCTCGGCCCCCAGCCCTCTGGCTCACCCGACTGGTGGCGCGGACAACGGGGCCCAGGACGCCCGCAGGCCCCGGCCGGGCTGGAATCCGGCGGCTGGAACCCCCCGGGGGCGCTCAATTCCCGGGCTCCACGCTGCTGCGTCAGCGCCTCCTCCTGGGGGCCGGGGCCGGGCGGGCGGAGCGGGGGCCGCGACCGGGCGGGGCCGTCGGAGGAGCGGGCGGGCCGGGTCGGGGCGGGAGGGCTGCTGGGGCCGTGCAGGCGGGGCGGGCGTCCAGACAGGCGGGCGGCGGGGCCGGGCTCCGGGATCCGCTACGCCGCTCGCGGTTCCCCCACAAACTCCCCGAGAGCGGAGCCTCCGCCGCCCTCCTTCCTGCTTCCTCGTCCGCAGCCAATCGGCTTATGGCCCTCCGCTACCTCCACCAATTAGCAACAAGCCCTGGGCTGGCCCCCGCTAGCCAATCCCAGCCCTCTGTTCCCCCTCCCCGCCCCGGACCAATCAGAGCCGCCCCCACCGGCCGGCCTGTCCCAACGCAGGGGGCAGCACGAGGCTGCCGGGGGAGGAGGTGCGGGGAGTGGCGGGGAGGGGGGGTCGTATCCAAGGGGTGGATTTCCTCCGCCAGCCCCTTGTACCTCTCTCTTTCCCGGAGCGCCCCCCAACCTGGGCCCTCACCCCCAATGATTCAACCCCCCCAGTCTGCCGACCCCCAAGACCCTCTCCCCAGAAGCTCGCCCCAGCTACCCCCCCGGGAAAGTCTTACGTAGCGCCCCCCCATGCTAGCATTCCCCTTCCCGTCCCCCACCCCCCACCCCCTCCATCTCCCGCCCTCCCGCCCAGCCACCCATCCAGGGAAACTGCAGGAGGCACGGACACACCCCACCCTCGCAGGCTCCTGCTGCCCGAGGTTAAGCTAGAGGGAACCCAGCAAGAAATGAAACAAAATTGGACGCCCCCTGCATTAGAGACCCCAGACCCCAGTGAGAGGAGCCCCCCTTGCAGGAAGCCCAGTCTCTGCCTCACCCTTCCATCGTCCCCTAGCACAAGTCTCCTTTCCCTTGCAGTGAGGTCAGCCCCTGGCCCCGCCGCGCCCCCCCCCCCTCCCAGCCCCTATTCCCCCCCCCCCCGTTCCTTTTTTTTTTTTTTTTTTTTTGCTTAGCTTTCACCTATTTCCATCTCGCGGCAAAGGCAAATGTGCGTTCCCCGACACCGCCACCCTTCCCACCCCACCACCCGCCATCAGCCCACTACGGGAGTCGACAGGAGAGCTCCCGGAGCAAGAGGTGGGCAGTGTGACAGTCTCAGCGGGGCTACCTCAGAGTCCTCGAGCCGAGATGCAGTTATTTTGGCAGGTGGGAGTCAGAGCTGTGTAGACACATTCCTGGCTCCCCTCCCCCCTCACACACAGACACGTCCCCAGGAGCCTGAGCATGACTAGTCAACCCGGTGGGCACAGGAGGCAGAGCTCAGGCTATGCATGGCCGAGGTCTCTAACCTCCAACACCCGCTCTTACCCAGATCGGATGGGGAGTCCAGACGCCGAGGCGGAGGGGAGAGGGGAAGAACAATATAGATCCACTGACAGTCTGAAGACCGGGGTCTGGGAGCAATATGCGCTGGGCCCCAGGCATGGGAGGGAGTAACACCCGAAGAGAACTCGGTCAGAAGAAACCAAGCCTCCTAGTAACCTAAGCAACCCTTCCGAGGGCTGCGGGATCATAGGCGCATAGATTTTGAAATGGAAGGAATCTTAAAGACCTAAGCCCCTCATTTTTCAGGTGAGGAAACTGAGGCCCAGAAAAGTCATACTAGTTAGGATTTGAAAATAGGTTTATTGAGCCCATATCCAAGTGCTTTTTTGGCGCTGAAAAGGACCTTAGAGGTCATCTAATTGAACCCCCTCATTTTTACAATTAAGGAAATTGAAGTGAAGAAAGTGATTTGTGCAAGGTCACAGGCAATGAAAGCGGGGATTGGAACCCAGGTCCTCTGACTACAGATTCTGTGCCCTTTCCTCTAGTTCTCCCCCTCTCCCTACCTTACACTGCCTTTCTTGACACCTAAAGGTAGCTCCAAAAAGATCAGAGCAGAGTCACCTCTTTCCAGCCCCCCCCCAAAAAAATTGCTTACCCACCCCATCTTCTTCCGGAGCCTAGACTGGGGTCCTTGCCATCCCTAGCCCGACAGGTTTAAGAAGGGGCTGGTTCAGTAGGGGAAGTGTATGGTTGGAGAGATAAGAATGTGGCATTAGAGATCTCTGAGAGGGTAGAGAGTTATTCTTTATCCTTTAGCCTTTGCGATCCTCTCAGTACTACTAAGTGACGACTGAGCCCCTCCCCCCAAACCGTGAATAGAAATACACCCACCCACCCACCCCTCCACAAAACAAACTAAGGCATTTCTCCTTTTCCTCACTATTTGCCCTTCAGGGCGAGGTCCCAAATTAAGTCCTTCTCTGAACCAGAGGCAGCTTCCTTAACACTTGCTGAGCTACAGGCTGTGCCTACTCCCCTGCCCCTCCCTTACTCCCATCCCGGGGGACTAAGGGAGTAGGCTGATAACCCCAGTCCTGCCCCCACCCAGTTAGGGATTGTTGGTGAAGAAACAGCAGCAGGCAGCACAGCCTTGTGCCCCTGTGCCTTTAACTGAACCAGGAGAGAAGGAGAGGGCAAGGGAAGGGAAAATTCGGAGACACACAGGCTGCCTGTCAGCAGCTGCTCTCACTTGGGAGGGGGCGGGGGAGGAGAAGGGATCTGAAATGAGGTATGGGCTAGAGGGGTTTGGTATTTGAATATCAATCTTGGCTGCAGGAAGGCCAGGTTATGCGCAGGCAATGGTGGCAGGAGCTAGGTAGGTTGGATGGATTTTTTCCCCCTCTGTCGGACAGTGAAGTTTCAATGCCCCTCTCTGCGGCGTATTGGAGGAGAATGAATAGAGCCGCAGTGGTCCTTTTGGGAGACAGAGGAGGCATGGCAATGCACTGCAGACTGTGTGCCCGCTCTACCAGAGAATGTCCACTGGAGGAACTTGCCCCCACACTACCCTGATGTGGATGGTGAACCTTCATACCATCTGATGGGGAACAGTTTTGAACCTTAGTGTAAGAGGTGAGGCCCAGGGCATTCCACCTCCGTAAGTTACTCCGACTCTCCTCCCCACCCCGCCCCCACCCCCATCCTTAATGGCCAAACCTTGAAGCCAGAGGAAATAATTAAAGTCCCCAAGAGCACCTGTTATCTTCACCCCACCCCAGCGGTTGAAAGCAGATGCCCCCACAAGCCTGTGGCACTGTATTCAAACATGAACACATGAACTCCATTGCTGTCCTTGTTCACTGGAGAAAATGAGAGCCATCTTTCCTTTCCCGCTCTATCCTTTGTCCCTAAAAGAGGCTTGTGGAAATCGGCTTCCAGGACAGCGAGGGTTTCTGTAGAGCAGACACTTGGGTGAACAGACAATCTAAATTAATCAGCCCCTCCTTTCAAGGCCTTCCTTCCCTCCCTGAATCCCTCAGCCTCAGAAGTTATTATAGACTCTTCATCCATCCCAGAGCCCCCTTTAGACTTTCAAAGATCAATCACTCCTCCAGTCAATAAGCACCTATTATATGCTTAGCCCCGCGGTAGGATCTCAGGACGAAAAGATAAAAATGAAGCAGTTCCTGCCTTCAAGGAGCTTACATTCTATTGGGGAGACGACACCTATACACAAAAACATACTAAACAAATACGAGGTAATTTTTTTTTCTTGTGGGATTCACTAGTTGTGGGGGCAGGGAGGGGAGGATCAGGAAAGATCTCATGTAGGAGGTAGAATTTGAGCTGAGTTTTGAAGGAAACTAGGGATTCTGAGAGGAAGAGAAGAGGAAGAAAGGCATTCCATGCATGGGGGACGGCATGTACAAAAGCACCAGTGACTAAAGATGAAATTGGCTGGACCATAGGGTGCATGACGGGGAGTGATTCTTGGCTCCAATTCCCCTCCCCGTCCAAAGCCCCCAAGACCAAAGCAGAGAAGGACTTCAGGGGCTGTCAGAAAGGAAAATTGGTACCAACTAGATTTCCCTGAGGGTTAACTCTCCCTCCTCCCCTAGATTTCCCTGGGGGTTAACCCCCCCTCCCCTAGGTTGGATTCACTGTGGGCTCCAGGGTGGGATAAAGAGTACTCCCAGCATTCCTCTCCCTGCCAACGAGAATGGCTAGGAGAGCAGAGAAGGGAAGATGCAGAAAGGAAAAAAACATGGAGTGCTGGGGGAACACAGTGAACACCCCTCCCCCGCCCCTCCCAACTGAACTGGCAGCCAGAAGAGACAGGCTGCTCTGCATGCAGCCTATGGTAGATGCAGGTCCGGCAGGCACCTCCCCCCAGCTGCTCCTGGCAGTGAGTCGCTTGTGGGTGCCCACGGATCTCTGTCGGGTGTTCAGACCATGCACAACACACACACACACACACACACACACACACACACACGTCCCCCATAAAAGACACCTTCCCCCTCCTCTCTCCCCCATCCTCGCTCTACTCCCCCCCACACCTGGAAGTCCACCCAGTGGGGCTGTTGCTCCTTCCTCAATTTCCCTTCTGAGACTCTGGACAAGAAGGGATGGTCCAAGAGCCCCCAAGGTCACCTAGCCTAAGTGGCAAACCCTGTAACCCCAGCAAGTCCCAGGGGTTACTGAGTAGAACAACCGTACTTGTGGGGAGAAAGAGTGGGAGTGCAAGGCTGCTACGTGTCTCCCTCTTTAAGGATTGCTAAACCAGGGGCTCTAACACCTTAGTCCTCTCCCCTAACTCCCTTCAAAGAAAAGCCCTAAGGGCGGGTAGAGTAGGAAAGCTGGATTTTTTTTTATAACCCTTATGGCTCTGACCCCTCCCTCTTAAAGGGGTTGGATTCCCCCCCCCCTTAAAGGGATCTCCGGAAATTATTTGCCCCCGTGTAGGTAAACCATTTAAATGCTGAAAGCTGAGATGCAGCTGCTCAGCCTGGTGGCCACCTGCCCCAGGAAGGGGGGCAGAGGTGCTCAGGGTACCTATGGACCCTGGAACTGTAGAAGGCAGGACCTCTCTAAAGATAACTGAGTCCAATGCCCTCATAATAGAAAACAGTGACTCCCCTAGTGCAAAGATTTCCCCCTTTTTAGGCTTTTATGGGGGATAGGAGTGGCAGTGAGAAAGGTGTGGGGTTGGGATAGGACCGAGCCTGACTGGGTCACTCCTGAGGATAGAAGGAACTGCTGTGGGCCAAGGCAGGGCTACACCCAGCTCCCTTTTTGGGGGAACACATGTCCATTTGCCACCGTGTCCAAAACCCCCATCTGTCCAGCACCAGCCTCCAGATTGCTGGCCGGGAGAAGAATCTTTGCAGACTGTGTCTCCCTGCAGAAGCTGCTCCCTCTTCCCCTCCCCCCACTGCCTGGTGCCCTGGGCCCTCATCTTTTGGGGATCTCTTTTCCACCCTTCACCCCTGGCCCTACCGGGGCGGGTTTATGGCTTCAGACTACCCTCTCCTCCCTTTCCATCCTCGGGTATCCTTTGAGCTTCCCATCCCCCCACAGATCTACATCCCCCCCTCCCCCCCAGGACTGCCAGAGACATTGGCAAGAAATTGCTGGGAGGGGGTTGGGGGATGGGCACACTGCAGCTCCCAGAAGCCAGGAGCAGCATCCCCTCTCTCCTGCCTGTTCTCTACTTCATCTTTTTACCTTGTCTGTATGGCTGTGGTTGGGGGTTGGCGCAGGATAATATAAGGGAGGGGGATGGGCGAAGGTCTGAAGGCCACCCCATCCCTGAGACAGGGGGAGAGCTACGTAGACCGACTCACTTTCGACTACCTTGTTTTCCCCAAGGACTGGGGGATTCCTTCGGGGGTGGACTTTCTGTAGCCTTTAGCAGCTGCCCAAGACTCTTCTGGCCCTTCCTGACCTGTGCCATCCCTCAGGGAGAGAGGACTCCAGGGGAACCACTGCAACCTTTTCCTCTTACCCCGTCCCACTGGGAAACCAGGGCTCCTGAGTTCTCTGGCTGCAGGCTGGCTGCAGGGCTCCAGCTCAGCCCCTCCCCCTCTTTGGGCTTCGTTTTCTCCAGAGATTCACAGACGATGTTTGTCCTGTGGAGGGGGCTGGTATTAAGAGTCCACTTCTGAGCACCTGACAGAACCAAGGGATGAGCGGCTGAAGAGTCAAATGGGCTGGTGCCCAACCCTTTACACCTTCTCCAACCCCCACTGTCCCGAAGAAAGAAGCTCAGTATCCTTTAGTGGCTAAAAGGTCTGATAGATACCCCTCTTCTCTCTCCCACATTATCTAGTCTACAGCAGAACCCTTAACCAGTGGTCTGTAGATAGATTTCAGAGGGTCCTTGAACTTGGAGGAAGGGAAATAACGTCTTTATTTTCCTTAACCTCTGACTGAAATTTAGCATTTCCTTTGATTTTGAATGTAGGCAGCAAACATTATTCTGAGAAGGGAGGTTCATAGGCTTTCCTAGATTGTCAGAGCAGTCCAAGACACAAAAAATGTTATACACCCCTGCTCTACTGGATTCATTTAACTCAAAAATGCCTGGAAACATTCTCATCTTCTTTCTTCTCTCTCTCCCTGTTGGAGAGGTTGGACCAGAATGATCACTCCTTTGTGGAAACAGC